CAAGAATTCTATAGCAGGGAAATTGTGAAGAAGAATGCACTTGGTATGATGTTGCTTATGGTATTTCAGGTTCTATTTCTTGAAGGTTTTGTAAGATCTATAATTAGTTGGCTGTTGAATCACATTGCTGTTTCAATGCTTATTTCGGGTAGAGTAATCTCTCTCCAGCATAGAAAAAAGATTAGACCAATGCTATGGCCTTCTGGATTCTATTAAGAGACGTTTGCTCAAATGCATGGAGAATGCAAAACTCTCTACAAGTGTATCTTTGGAGGATTCATAACATTTTTTCTCCCACAAAGGATTGTTTTCTCCCCCCTCCTCATCTTTCTGCATGGAACTTGAGATTCATCTTGAACTAGGTGTTAGAAAAATGTCCAGCATACTTTTATTTAAATAAAGTGTACTTATGTCACAATAAATTCTAATATGCCTGAGCATACATGTATGTGTCTTGTCATGTTAACTAAGGAGACCTATGCTTTGAAGTTTGAAAGACTTCACATACTGAGTAATTTTTAAAAAATGGCTGGGATCCAGAGAAGTATATCAGGTTAGGACACTAAAACTTTTTGACTCTTTTCCCTCCCCTCCATTAAATCTCTGAACTCTTACATTACATTACAATATTCAAATACCCTATCTTTTAAACATAGAAGTTGCTCAACATGGAAGTAATTTCACTGTTCTTCCATCTTTGCTCTAGAGTGCAAACCAAATGGGATTAGCAGTTTAGATAATCCTTAAGTATTTACCTGAATGTGTGGGGAGATCTGAAGGAAAGGGGTTCTTCTGTTTGCTTGATTATAGGTATAGCTTTTTCTGTGATCAGGAATTCAAATAAGGAGGGTCCTGGCTTGCTTTGATAGGTCTACTTGCATTCAAGCAAATGTGATTTCCTTTCAGATCTCCCACTTGGGAACTTGGAGTGATAATGGAGCTGAGCTGTGTGTCCCACCCCAGTTTCTCTAGACTTTGAGCTCTCCACATTAGGTGAACATCTAAATGGGGTTAGAATGTATGTGGTATGTTCATCTCTCATATATGGTTGTTTCAGTGCCATACATAGCTGTTTTCCAACTGCTTTAATGTCTCTTCGACCCTATTCCCTCCAGAATGTTTCCTAGTGCTAAATTATTAGAATGATTGCATTAAGAATAAGCAAGTATTTATTAGATGATGATGATGATGATGATGATGATGATGATGATGATGATATTTTTATGTTTGTGTAATTTTCTTCTGGATGCCAAATTTTGTTGGCAGCCAGATTTTGAGTAGCTTTCTTAGTGGTTTTTTTTTTATTATTTTGGTATTGCATAATCCATCAATGATCATATGGACATTATGCTACTGCTGCCTTTGTCATTATGAGCAAACATGCCAATATTGTTTCCATATATCTCTCTTTCATGTGCATCCTGACAGGGTATTAACATCTGCAGTGAAAAGCTCCATTCTTTGGCTGACAGATGGGTCTCCCTGCTCTCTTATCTTCCCTAGACAAAGAAAAATACAGACATTCTATTTTGATCCCTTAAACCATGTAAGGCCTTTGGGGGAGTTTGACTATATCTTCAAATGTGTAGAAGTAATAAATAAATAATGGGGAAATTCTTCAGATTTTGGTGAAAATGTGAAACTGAGGACCACTCAGATGTAACTGACCATAAATGGCATTGGCCTTTCCATATTGTCTTAAAGTTAAGAGATCATTTGAGAAGGGTCTGCTAAATAAATGCATGCACTCTGATCAATGCAGTCCTCCAGCATTTTTTTTTTCCTGTAAAGCCTCCATTGAAATGAATGAAAGCTGAGCCAGCAACCTTTGCTACGAATCCGGGTGTCAGCTCAGCTTCTGCTCATTTCAGCCAGATCTGTCCTGGGACAGTTGTCCTTGTTAACAGTTGGTACAGTAATTGCATTGCTCTTCAATCTGTTTTGCTACAGAACAAGTTGAGTGTTTGGTCTGAGTGTTTTATACATGGGCAAGCCAGAGTTAATAATATCCTTTAGAAGAAGCTTCAAGAAAATGCAACCATATGGTACTAACTGACAATTCTCACTTGCTTTTTTACCTTGTAGGGAGATGTTTCATTTGCTATTTTTCCTCTCTCCTTCCTTCTGATTCCTAAGCTAATGTGAGAACTTTCTAAACAAGGAGGAACAGCAGAGAAAGTCCTGCTTTCTTCCCCCCCCTTTTCTTTTTTGTTTTTGGTTCCTTTTGGTCCTTAAAGGAAGACTCCATCCGGTATGTAAAGGAAGAGATTCCCGCCCATTTTTCTTTCCCCTTGGTTTCCACACACAATGGAGCTTTCAGAGAACCTCTCTCCAAAGGAATAGCTCCAGCCTTTGTGTTGAAGGGTGTGCCTATTGGCAAGGCTTGCTAAACAGACAGCTTGGCTGGTGATTAACAAAGGTCATTAGACTTTGGAATCTGGCAGGCAGAGTCAGATGGTATGTCTTCTGTGGATAGAAGAATGACTCCCATGAGGCTAAAGCGCATATTGTGGAAGGCTTTTCCCCTCCCTTTGCTTCTTTTCTTTCTCCCTGTTCTCTCTCTGCCTCCCTTTCTTCTATCCATCCTGTTTTAAAATAATAATAAGGTTACACTTCTGCTTCTTGCTTTTGACTGTGAGGCCACCTGACCAGATCTTTGGCTTAAGCAAAGGCTGTTGCTGATGGAACATTGGGGAATGGAGGGACCTTCAGAGGTATTTTGTCCATGGCTTTATTAAAGGAGAGGAAAAAAGGCTGGTTTGATAGCAACCTTGAAGTCTTAGGCATCTGTTCTTTCCTTCAAGGGCAAAATCTTAAAATGCTGGTTTCTAACACTAGTCTTGGAAGGTCGGGAGAAGGCAGGGAGGGGAGAAGCTGGAGAATATTGTATGCTGGAGATGAGGCTGAGATAAGTGAAGCCATGTTGTGTGCAGGCTAGAAGCTCTGAGCCTATCTCTCCCTTAATACATGACTTGTCTGAGCTAAAATGGCTGCTCTCTCTCTCTCCCCCCCCCTCTACCTCTCTCTCCCTCCTAAGGCTCAGAGGACTAGGACGGCTTAGTGAGTCTTAAAGCGTCAGTGACGCAGGAGCTCATATCTCTTGAAAGTGTGATAAACACATTCAGAGAGCTGTGGCTTGTTTGACTTAGATGAAAAGACTATGCTGGGGGAGGAAGTTAAGAAGATGGACAGTGAGAAGATCTGTTTCATTATTTCCTCTCCTGCTTTTTCCTCTGGAGCATTCTGAATTCAAGAGTCGTCTGCTGTGCCATGGCAAAAGGGGTGGGGGGAGAAGAGATTGTTTTCAGGTCTAATGGACTGTGCGAAAGGAGACTTATGGGGTGGGGCCTCTGTGTTCACTGCTGTAATTTGATCCAGAGCAGATAGCAACCTCTTCCACACAGTCTGGTCTGGTGCTTGCACATAAAAGATTTGAGTCTCCTGATTGTTGTTAACAATGTTAGCTGAAAAGAAGGCAGGGCCAATGTTCAGTCTTTCAGTGCAAAGAGGAAGGAGAGTGGGGCACCAAGATATTGTAGTGGATGTGCTTTTCTGCTCCTTGTGTCCATTTTTTTTAAGTCATGCTATCAAGAGGAACTTTCTTCTGATGCAGGATCCTGGTAGCACTGCTTTTTCTTCGTAATGCTGGTGGGATACTGTTGAGCTTTGAACATTTGATAAACATAATCTCATATTACATCACAATGAGAAGATGGAATTTTTCTCAGGGCACGCTTGGGCTGCTGTTCCATCTCTTGCTCTGGAGGAACTCCTAGACTGAATATGACCTGAATTGTGTGAGGAGACTTTAAAATAAGCAGCTCATTCATTAAGATAATAGCTGCGGCTGCATTAGTGCAATGCTGGCACAACGTTAGCATACAAATTAAAAAAATAAAATTTCTCTCAGCCCAACTCACCTCACAGGGTTGTTGTTGTGGGGAAAATAGGAGGAGGAAGGAGTATTAGGTATGTTCACCACCTTTAGTTATTTATAAAAATAATAAAGATGGGACAAAAAAATCTAAAAAAGATTACTGTTTGAAAAGGAGTAGGTTTCTTGTCCTAGCCTGTTACATGTTTTCATCTTATTCAGTGATAATTTCTCAGTAGTATAGAAACTATAGAATTTACCAAGTATTTAATGTGTACACTTAGAATCATGAGATCTGAAACACTGGGAGAAATATATCAGTGTATATATTTTTTATCTTGCTGAAATTCCTCTTTATGGAAGGAGAGCTAGATGCTCCTAGGCTATCATTTTCATTCACCTTGTTGCCTTAGAATTTCATAATTGTGGCCCTGCACATTTGGGCAGCCCCAGAGCTGAAACAGGTTACATAAAAAGGTTCAGTAATAGCCAATAATATCTAATGTAGTAAGCTTGGAAAGGGGAAATAATTTAAAGGCTTTTTGGTTAGAAGTTTGGGCTCACAGTGGGAGAGCAGGTGGCTACACCAACTTAAACTCAACTCAGTTGAACTTGAGCAAGTTGTAGGTTGTCAGCCTAACAGGGTTGCTAAAAAGGTGAAAATTGGATAAGATATAATATGTGTGCCACGTAAGCTTGGAGGAAGCATGGGATAAAATGTCTTGAGTAAATAATCTGCTTGTCCTTTTGAAACTTTTTAAACAATAGTTCCTGTGCATTTTATTGTTGATGGATTTCCAACACATGCTTCCTTGTTCTTTGGAAATGGATTTGATGAGCAGGTAAAGTGAGAGCAGAAAAGGCAATTGGGCAAGACTTGTGCATAAAGTAACTATGAGTCACATATTTGAATGTATCAAATGTGTTAGGTCTGAGATTTCTGTAAAAAATTGTTACTGCTCTGGTATGCTCTATTTCTTGCGCTTGGAGAATATTTCTTTTCCTATATTTGCTCAATACTGAATCCGCTGCTGTAACAGTTTTGTGAACAAGCATGTCATATGCTAGTGATTTTTCCTATTAGCAGAGGATTCTTAGACAATATGTTTTTCCCTCATCTTTTCAGGTTTTCCTAATGTAAAACTTACCAACAAGGACCATGGAGGTGCTGCAGTGTGATGGCTGTGATTTTCGAGCACCTTCCTATGAAGACCTTAAAGCTCACATCCAGGATGTTCATACTGCGTTTCTGCAGCCCACAGATGTCGCTGAAGAAACTCCTAGCCCATCAAGATTCAGTTCCATGAACAGTGACCAGGCTGAGGTGGAGTATTCTTTGGTAAAAGATGAATTTGCAGTGGCAGATGGGATGGCAGGTAACTTTCTGTTTGGAACGTAATTCTGAGAAATTATCCTATGGCAGTATTCTCACATTACTATCCTGTTCACCGTATCTGAATCTTATGACAGATATAATAACAGGAATTGCTTTGCAGGACAACCACCACCTGTGTTATTCATATTCAACAGGAAGCAACCCTACACTGTGGCTGAGGATGTAGATTCCAAGAAGTATTCATTAAGGAAGCTGTCATTTGTTCATCATGTGTTGGTTTGAAAAGGGGAAAAATAGCCACAAATGATGGATTTACCCCCAGTGCTGCTAAGTTTTTGATCCATTCGCATGACTTTTTTTGGTTTTGTTATGTTCAGAATTTAAAACACAATGTCTAGAAAGCTATTTGTACATGAAACTTATAGCATATATGCATTTCAAGATAAGTATTTTATAGAACTGCTTTAATAGTTTATATGGTTGATAGCAGCCTTTTGTTGCTAACAATATGTGTGTGTGTGTTTGCATGTGTGTGTGTGTATATATATGCCTAAATTGCACTGGAATTTTATCTCATTGTGATTTGTTAACTAGCGGTTGGGGGTAGGGTTGGTTAAATTATTTAGAAGTAGTATATGTGAATTCTGCAAACTATAAGTAGCATTTAAAATGTGTGTGTATCTGTATGTGTGAATTAACATTTACATCTCAGTTTTAGTTGTGCTTTTATTACTGAATTTCCCTGGAAGACAGTTGTAAAGCATAGATCTTTTTCTTTTTTCTTTTTCTTTTTGACATCCTATCCAGTATTTATGAACCAAGTCCCTTGGGAAGAAACACAACTTTGAAGGGGGAAAAAAAACCCCAAACCAGGCATTTGGTTTGTGGAAACATACTACTTTTCACAGATAATGTTTGCTATTTCTTTTCTTTTTAGGACAAAATGCAGCTCAGCTGGGGACTGGCAATTACTATAGCCATAGCCAGAGTTACTATGGCCAACATATGCTCTCCAAATCAGCAAACAAGTTTTTCCAGTGTAAATTCTGTGTGCGTTATTTCCGGTCCAAAAACCTTCTTATAGAACATACCCGGAAAGTCCATGGTGCTCAGGCTGGAGGCTCCCCAACTGGATCTGCAAGTGCTGGTTCCTTAAATTACAACATCATGATGCACGAGGGCTTTGGGAAGGTATTTTCTTGCCAGTTCTGCACCTACAAATCACCAAGACGTGCACGGATTATAAAACATCAGAAGATGTACCACAAAAACAGCCTGAAGGAGAGCTCTACCCCTCCTGCTTCTTCAGCCGCTATATCTGAATCAACATCTACATCTATCTCAGTGCAGGATTCGTGCAAGGAGCTTCCAGCTGAAGTTGTTGAGCGTAGTATTTTGGAGTCTATGGTCAAGCCTTTAACCAAATCAAGAGGCAACTTCTGCTGTGAATGGTGTAGTTACCAGACACCCCGAAGGGAACGTTGGTGTGATCATATGATGAAGAAGCATCGAAGCATGGTGAAAATACTGTCCAGCCTGAGGCAGCAACAGGATGGGTCCAGTATGTCAGATGTTATAAGCAAGGGTCCCCCAAGCCCTCCCCCAAACTCTAACTATATACCCATGAATGCTTCTGGGCGAGAGATGCCTAATGCAAATGTCCCAAACTACAGAAGTTCAGTAAACAATTCTCTTATCAGGTCCAGCACATCTTCAAAATTTTCTTCTGTTTCCTATCCTCAAATGAAACATAAGGCACCTCACAACTCAAGCATTGTTAATTTGTCTGACAGATCTCGTTACGGGGTGGGTGACATGGCAAATTCTACTGATATGGATACAAACAGTATGCTCAATGACTCCAGTTCTGATGATGAGCTCAATGAACTAGACAGTGAGAATGGGTTGAACTCTATGGATCACCAAAGCTCAGGACTAACTGCAGAGCAGCTGATGGGATCTGAGGGCCACAAGTTACTGGAAACAAAGGGGATCCCATTTAGAAGGTTTATGAATAGGTTCCAGTGTCCTTTCTGCCCTTTCCTTACCATGCATCGGCGGAGCATTTCTCGCCACATTGAGAACATCCATCTGTCTGGAAAGACAGCAGTATACAAATGTGACGAATGCCCTTTCACTTGCAAGAGCTCTTTTAAACTTGGTGCTCATAAGCAATGTCATACTGCTGCAGCATCAGACTGGGATGCAGTGAATTCCCAAACTGAAAGTATAGCTTCTTCTTTAAATGAAAGTACGGTATCCTATGAAGGGGGAAATATGAATGGCAGGAAGTCTGGGGGAATGATGGATTCCATGCAGCAGCAGCAACAATCTCCACAGTCCAATTCGCAGCATCCATATAAATGTACCATGTGCAATTATTCTACAACTACTTTGAAAGGTCTTCGGGTTCATCAGCAACATAAGCACTCATTTTGTGATAACTTGCCAAAATATGAGGGCCCATCAGCAAATACCCTGCAAGACAGTGAGCCTGATGCTCATGCTTCTCCCAGCACTGTGAAGAAAAGCCAGACCTCAATTCTTGGATTGTCTTCTAAAAACAACTTTGTAGCAAAAGCCTCTAGAAAGATGTCCAATGACTTTCCCCTAGATCTTTCCCCTGTGAAGAAAAGAACCAGAATTGACGAGATCGCCAGTAATTTGCAAAGCAAAATCAATCAAAACAAGCAGCAAGAAGATGCAGTCATTAATGTAGAGGACGATGAAGAGGAAGAGGATGACAATGAAGTGGAAATAGAAGTAGAACTGGACAAGGAAGAAGAACAAGCAGAACCACTGATGGAAATGGCAACATTCACTTCCCAGCAAATGTGGGGAAGAGACACGGGCGAACCTCAGAAAGAGCCCAACTACAGGAATATCCCCCATGATTACAACTCCACTAATGGGGCAGAAATTGAGTTAACTATATCTGAGGATGAGGAGGAATATTACTGTTCTTCAGTGGGTTTGAAGGATCAAGGACTGAATTCATCTGTTCTGGGCAGCCAGTCAAGTATATATGGATCTGATCAAAACAATGAGAATTCAGATTATGGTGATTCTGGAAGGCTTTACTATTGTAAACACTGTGACTTCAGCAACAAATCTGCCAGGAGTGTTAGCACTCACTACCAACGGATGCATCCCTACATTAAATTCAGCTTTAGGTATATTCTTGATCCCAACGATCACAGTGCAGTGTATAGGTGTCTTGAATGTTACATTGATTATACAAACTTTGAAGATCTGCAACAGCATTATGGTGAGCATCACCCTGAAGCCATGAATGTATTAAATTTTGATCATTCTGATTTGATCTATCGCTGTCGCTTCTGCTCTTACACTAGTCCAAATGTTAGGAGCCTAATGCCACACTACCAAAGAATGCATCCAACGGTGAAAATTAACAATGCAATGATATTCTCAAGCTATGTAGTTGAGCAACAAGAAGGGTTAAGCTCAGAATCACAAACACTGAGAGAGATACTGAACTCTGCTCCAAAAAATCTGACCACTTCAACTCCAGTTGCACGTGGGACTTGTGGCATACCTGCTGCTTATAACAAAAACTCTTCAAAAGGCAATAGCCCAGAATCTGAAAGCCAGAAAGAGTCAACAGTCAACAGTGTTGTAGTTTATGACTGTGATGTCTGTTCATTTGCAAGTCCCAACATGCATTCTGTCTTAGTGCATTACCAGAAAAAACATCCTGACGAGAAGGCTTCATATTTTAGGATTCAAAAAACTATGCGTGTGGTATCAGTAGAGAGGGGCTCTGCCCTGGCTCAGATGGCTTATGAACTAGGATCACCTGTTTCTCCCAAAATGTCACAGCTACCACCTCCACCACCTCCAGACCTTACCACAGAGCTTTACTACTGCAAACATTGCTCTTACAGCAATCGGTCAGTGGTTGGAGTGCTAGTTCACTACCAGAAACGGCATCCAGAGATAAAAGTGACTGCAAAATACATTAGGCAGACACCCCCCACTGCAGCAATGATGAGAGCTGGAGAGATACCTCCTGGTGTTCATAGACCTACAGTTTCTATGCAGCAGCTGAATAGGGACAGCTCTGATAGTGCTGTAGCTCCATCAGAGAATGAGATGTTCTTCTGCCAGCACTGTGATTATGGAAACCGGACTGTAAAAGGTGTTCTTATCCATTACCAAAAGAAGCATCGTGATTTCAAAGCCAACGCAGATGTGATTAGGCAGCACACAGCCACAATCAGGAGCCTCTGTGATCGTGGCCAGAAAAATTCCCCTGGTGGCCTACAAATTCCTACTTCTGGTTCTGAGCGAGAAAAGGCTAAGTTGAGAGCTCTCAAATGCAGGCAGTGTTCTTATACATCTCCTTATTTCTACGCGCTGCGGAAGCACATTAAAAAGGACCACCCAAGCTTGAAGGCTACTGTCACATCTATTTTGAGATGGGCATTTTTGGATGGCTTAATAGAAGCTGGATATCACTGTGAATGGTGTATCTATTCTCATGCAGAACCCAGTGGCTTGCTTGTGCATTACCAAAGGCGACATCCGGAGCATTACGTTGATTACACATATATGGCAACAAAACTCTGGGCAGGGCCAGATCCTTCACCTCCAGCCTTACTAATACCATCAGAAATGAAAACGTACAAATGCAGAGACTGTATTTTTGAAGCCTCTTCCATTTGGGATATCACTAATCACTACCAAGCATTTCATCCTTGGGCTATGAATGGAGATGAATCTGTATTACTAGATATTATCAAGGAGAAAGATGCTGCTGATAAAGCTAACCCAGCATCCAACGATGTTGGTGCCAGAATAATTTCGGAGGATCAGATAGCAGTGCCACAAGGGGACCAGGATATAGAATATGCAGAAGAGTCAAACCTTTCCCAAGATAAAACTCTTCAGCTCACCTCTGTGAACCCTGCAATATCCTCCACACCATATCAGTGTACAGTGTGCCAGTCTGAATATAACAATTTGCATGGACTTCTAACCCATTATGGAAAAAAACATCCTGGGATGAAAGTTAAAGCTGCAGATTTTGCACAAGACATTGATATTAATCCAGGAGCTGTGTACAAATGTAGGCATTGTCCTTACATTAATACACGCATTCATGGTGTTCTTACACATTATCAGAAAAGGCATCCTTCAGTGAAGGTCACTGCAGAAGATTTTGTGCATGATGTGGAGCAACCTGCTGATATGAACCAGAATGACGTGGAGGAGACCAGCAGAATTTTCAAGCAAGGGTATGGTGCTTACCGGTGTAAATTGTGCCCCTACACGCATGGCACTTTGGAGAAGCTCAAAATTCACTATGAGAAATACCATAATCAGCCTGAATTTGATGTATTTGCACAGTCTCCTCCAAAATTCCCTGCCTCCATGGAACCTGAAGTTCTCGCTGAAATTAAGCCCTCACCAGAGATTGCTCCGGAAGAGATCATTGGAGACGATTCAGTACCATCTTCCCACTTTTCCAGTTCCCATTTGGTTTCTCATACTGTATTCCGGTGCCAGCTTTGTAAGTATTTTTGCTCTACCCGGAAAGGGATAGCAAGGCACTATCGAATAAAACACAACAATGTTCGGGCACAGCCAGAAGGCAAGAACAACCTGTTTAAATGTGCCCTGTGTTCCTACACAAACCCTATTCGTAAAGGTCTGGCTGCCCATTATCAGAAGCGGCATGACATTGACGCTTACTATACGCATTGCTTAGCAGCCTCGAGGACTATAAGTGACAAACCCAACAAAGTGATCATTCCCTCACCCCCGAAGGAGGACTCTCCTCAGCTAAGTGAGGAGCTGAGAAGGGCAGTGGAGAAGAAGAAATGCTCCCTCTGCTCCTTCCAGTCCTTCAGCAAAAAAGGCATTGTCTCCCACTACATGAAGCGTCATCCTGGAGTATTCCCTAAGAAACAGCATGCCAGCAAGCTGGGGGGTTACTTCACTGCCGTGTACGCAGATGAGTATGAAAAGCAGCAACCTCCACCAGAAGAGAGGAATGATTTTGAGAAGCCTGAACTGGAGGTGGAAGCTCCAGAGGTGGAGTGGCTTCCTTTCCGGTGCGTCAAGTGCTTTAAGCTCTCCTTCAGCACGGCGGAGCTCCTCTGCATGCATTACACAGACCACCATAGCAAGGATCTGAAGAGGGATTTTACCATCCTGGGAAGTGGGGCCCGTTTCCAGTGTAGACACTGTGACAGTAAGCTGCATAGCGTGGCGGAGCTGACCACACACTTGAGCAGCCACAATGAGGAGTTCCAGAAACGTGCCAAGCGTCAAGAGAGGAGGAAGCAGCTTCTGAGCAAGCAAAAATACGCAGATGGTGCTTTTGTAGATTTCAAACCGGAGAGGGTAAGGGTCTGACTTTACATTGCGTTTTCTTATTTGATATTTCTTCTTCTTCGTCTCCACCCTCCCCATTCCCCCAAGATTACTTATTTCTTATTGTTGCCCGTTTCCTTTGGTAATCGAAGAGCTACAAGCACCACAGTCACTGGGTTGTGCCAGTAAGTTCTATGCCCATTAAATATTGCATCCTTGTTTCATTTCTTTCCTCCTTTAGACTCCTGGCATGCTCTTTCATTTCCTCCTTTCCTAACTTTTCAAAGTTAATTTCTCTTTGAATAAGAAAATCATTGGTCTTCCTACCTGTTCCTCTGCCCCCATGGCAAATATATTTTTTGTTCTCGACCAAACTATCGAGAAAGCAAGGAAATAATTGAGAAGGAAGTCTAATGCAAAGCCCTTTGCTTCTGTGGATTTAAACCAATCTTTTTAAATGAACTGCATGTTAAATCCTTAATTTGCTTGATGATACACTTGGAACGACATGCCTCTTTTGGAAGTAGTCAATTAAGAGTGAATGTCATGTGGAATAAAACTTGATTTTAATGGCATACTATCATAGACTTGGAGATTTTTCACCATGTTGGTGCTAGAGAGAAAAGGGAAATGATAAATGCATCTCATTGGATCAAGAGCTACTGCTGGGATGCTACATTCTGGTTTTGCAGGGGAATAATTTTCAAGTGGGATCCCAGTGGAATAAAGTCTTGAGGCTGATTGTCAAATTGACGGGGATCTAAACACTGAATCTTTTGGGGGGAAGAAATAGGAATGTAGCAGATAACAGAAACGCAATGTACAATGATGGTTCGGCATTCTGGAAGAAGGATCAGAATGATCAAAACAGGGAAGTTAAGAAAAACTTCATGGCCACAGATTCTCAAGAGATTGCCTCTGATTAGGATGATTCAGCATTTATCACTTTTACAGCCAATTCAGTTATATGTCTGAATATCTAAGATTGATCTGAAATGTGATTTCGCAGTGGAGACAAGGAGCTTTACATACTATTAGCTAAGTAATTAGCTCTCTGCCTTCAGGTGCAAAAGACCCACTCTATTTGGAAAATCATGCATTTTTTTAAAAAGAACTCAGATTTCTTCCATCTGGTACTTCCATTGGCCAAGCTGGTTGACAATTATATGTTGGGAACTGTACTCCAGCAGATATAGAGGACACCATATTGGGGGAGGTAATTTTTAATCTGTAAAATACAGTAAAATGATCTGTAGGTAATTTTATAAACAATCCTTATGAAGAAAGTGTATATTCTCTGTTAAGCTTCATAGTGCTTACATGTGCTGACAAACTTAACTCCTAGAGTTGCTCCCCCAAGAGAAAGACATTAATGTCCTGTGGGTTTATAATTGGATCTACATGTTTAGTGTGGATACAGCTGAAAGGATGTTATTTGAATGGGGAAATGCTATCTTATTTATGCTTTTATTTTCTTACTCTATAGAAATTGAAGGTTTTGCCATCACATTTAGTATTGCTGGTAGGAGAGTACTGCAAACTGGAGTTGAGATTTTTTGCATGCCCGAAGGGTTTGAATCAATATTGTAATAGCACACTATATCTATTTTGGGACTTTTAAACATCAGCTTTTAAAATAAACACATGCCACCTCAGAGTTTCACTTATTCCAAGAAGCTTAATGTTGCCTCTAATTGTATTTAAATCTACAAATTTGTGACATTGTTTAAAGCAGTGTTTCTGAAGCTTGGCAGCTTTCAGATGTGCGGACTTCAACTCCCAGAATTCCCCAGCCAACAAGGCTGGCTGGGGAATTCTGGGAGTTGAACTCCACACATCTGAAAGCTGCCAAGCTTGAGAAACACTGGTTTAGAAAAAGGAATGCTTAATTAAGGTTCAAGTTTTATTTCCTTACAGCCTTTTGGCAGCTTGGAAGAAGTTTCAAAATTGAAGGAGAGAAAGGTGGTGGGATACAAATGTAAATTCTGTGTAGAAGTTCATCCGACCCTTCGAGCCATTTGCAATCATCTTCGTAAACATGTCCAGTATGGAAATGGCTCCTCGGTGTCTGCTGCAGTCAAGGTGAGTTTAAGGGCTTGTTTAGGGGTTAAAGGCTTGGATTCATCCAAGGGAAAGAAACCAAACTGTTTTTGTGGGTCAGGCCCGACAAATGGACATAAATATCAGTATCTGTAATATGATTTCTATACAGCTTTTCTTTTTTTATTGGACTTAACCTAGCCTAGTTTCTTGTGGGCAGAATACATGCACCATCATCATCATCGTCATCATCATCATCATCATCATCATACTTGTATGCTGCCCGACTCTGGGTGGCTCACAGCAAATATGCACACATTAATTTGTTGTTATTCTTTTGTGGAACCTTGAGAAAATGTGGTTTGGAATAACCTTAGGCCTAAAAGCCGGCTGGGTGACTTTGGGCCAGTCCCTCTCTCTTAGCCCAACCCACCTCACAGGGTTGTGGTTGCGGGGAAACAAGGAGGAAGGAGAAGTATTAGGTATGTTCGCTGCCTTGAGTTATTTATAAAAAATAATAAAGGCAGGATAAAAATCTGATAAATGCAACCAATAAATAAACATCTCTAAAGCTTTATATTAATACGCATAGCCAACCTGTGTCCTGCAAGCTGCATATGGAGTCTTGGTATATGCTGCTCTAGAATTCTTGGCTTTGAACTGTTTTCTGTCTTCTGAAAAGCAGCTGTTTAGTTCCCTTTATATGAGAAGCCGCTCTTGAGTGTTAGTTTTAAAATCTCAGAAGCCAGAGGAATTGCTGCAGAAGGTTTCCAAGGACAAGGGCAAAGACCGTATCGCTCCTGTAGCCTTTTTCCTATGTTTTATTATACAATAAATATTTTATTTATAATGTTATGTATTTCTATTTATAACATTATTATGTATTGTGTATTGATTTATATAATAATTTTCATAGCTATACATTATGAAGAAGAAGTGAATCCAGGCCCGCTTGTCTGTTGGATGTAGTATCCACATCATTCACCTGTAATTGCTCCAAAACATAAAATTCTTTTTTTAAGTCAGAATATACCCACTCTTAAGTTTATCTTTCATTTACGGATAACTTACTTCTTTAATTAAATCTTGGTATGAGATATACTAGTAGAATAGATGAAACTTACTGCAAATGGCCTTCTTTATTTGTATTCTGCTCTGTGTCCTGTCTTTTTACTGATACACCCTGTTGGGTGCATACATGCTTTAAAAAACTTTTCTCCTTCAAATGTGGCAATAAATGTTTTCTACAAATTTATTTCCTTACCAAGTTTTTACAGTCCATGACCAGAGCTTACATGCCTTCTGGTAATGATGGTTAGTGAACCATCTGTGGGTTTTTATTTAAGGCTGACAGATTGGATATATTTTATAAATTAATGCAAATAAGTTGAATATACCCAGTAGGTGAGAAAAGTAATGAATACTGTGTAGTCTTTTTGATGTTCTTCTTAGCCCCTGCCCACCCCCACCTCTAAATGAAATCTAGATTAGTTTACTTAAGCTTGGGCATTTCTGAACAGAAGTCAGCATATAGTTGCTAATGAAACAGTTGGAAAAATATTTGTTTGGGCAAATCTGCAAAAAAATTGAATGCTTATAGTGCAGCGTCCTCGTGCCAGTTTTACATCAGGAAGCCAAAGGAAGGTGAGGAGACACTCCAATAATCTTTTATAAGAAATATTGGCATTTCTTCAAAATTTGTGTCATTTCTATCTAATGAAGTGAATTACTATGAAAAAAAAAAGTTTTTGGCAATGGAGTGTGCTCCGGCCATGCTGATCACTACTAATGGAGCAGCTGTATGCTTCTTTTGAAGACATCTTCACTCTGATGGCATGGATGGCTGCTCATAGCTGGATTTCAAGGTTGCTACTCTTAGAAGACCTTCTTAGACTTCCATAGATGTAATGGAAATGATAGGGCAGAAGGGAGAGAGAATTGATGGCTTTGGGGGGATGTGTGTCTTTTAGCAGGAAGCTGAAGATCCTTCACATGCAGCTTTCTTGGAGGGTATTGAGGGAGCCAAAGACCCGGGCAGTATGGCCACGGTGGAACTTGCAGAAGCTGAATCTGGACCATCACTGGAAGATGAAACCAGACCTGGTGGCTACCATTGCAGCCAGTGTGACCGGGTTTTGATGTCTATGCAGGGTCTACGATCGCACGAGAGGAGTCACTTGGCATTGGCCATGTTTACTCGCGAAGACAAGTACAGCTGCCAGTATTGTTCCTTTGTTTCTGCATTCAGGCACAAGTAAGTTGTATTACTCACTATTTCTCCTACTTAATGTTCAGTTAACATTTGCCCGTATTCGAAGGAGCATACAGATTTACCCAAACAGAAGCAAATGTTCTTATTTTCCACATGCAGTTGTTGTAGTATGCACTGCCCAATTAACATCAAAGGCATTATATAATCAACTGGGTGACAGTAAGCCCCAATCAGTTTTTATTAAGCTGTTCTTATTCTGGCTTTCCAACCCTTAAACTAGCCAAAATTCCTTTATGGGAATATATATGGAAATGCAGTCTAGAAATTGAAAAGCAAACCCCATAACTCTAGACTTCCAGTTAAAAATTGAAATCTATGTTGAAACCAATACATGCTTTTCAGTGATTTTTTTTTTTAATTGTAACTCTAGTAGCAACTCTATATTATACCAATCCCATTTTCCTTTGGATCTACCAAGAGGACATCTTACTTTTTGAAAGAGTATTACCATCAGCACACCCACCCATCCACCATGTTAGAAATTGGTATTTTGGTCGTAACCACCGCATATCTGCATATCTTGCACCAGAGAATAGAACACCTTTTGTATTTGTTTAGTACAGCATTTCTGTGTCACCTGCTTCTGGTGATGAAAGTTTACATGCATAACCAAAAGGCCTGATCCAACAGTAAATTTCTGACTAGTTCTTAGCATTGAAGCACTCTGGCAATTTAATTGTAACTACTAACATCACAGTTTAATCCATTCTTCCCAATCTTGGCACCTTCTATATGTGGTGGGTCTGTAACTCTCAATTTCCTACCAGCTAGAAGACGACAGATTGGGTAAAGCCGTCTTTTCCATAGATGTTGTACTGTATAAGGTATAGAAATGGAAAGCGGTACCAACCTCTTTCACTTGTCCCAGCATAGAACTAAGTTTATGTAGGTCTGCTATGTTAAACTTTGACTTCTGTGGATCTCTGCATTTGTCCTGTGGATAAATTCCATTTTCCTTCCTGCTTGGTTTCCTTGCCATAATACATGCCCGAAAAACTATTGATAGGTGAATGTATGATTGATAGATTAAACGATTGGCTCAGATTTGTGGATGTCTGATAATATTTTGCACTTTCACACTAGAACGTTGCAAAAATGCAAGACAGAAAAGATAATGGATTAAGGGTAATTCTTCTCGATTTTGAATTATAGGAGTCTTTCCCCTCAATTCTGTTTCTGTGGCATGTCACTACTGAATTGTCTGTGGTGGAAGTCCCTCCTTGCCTTTCTGTTTTCTTGGTGCTCTTTGGAAAACAGTGATCACCACACTTTTATTGTGCTCCAGGTGCAGCCGATGAAGCAAAACAAGCCAGCCACATTGAAGCTATAATTTTAAACATACTCACTCAGAAGTAAGCCCATTTCAACAAAGTGCAACCTTCTTCTGAGTAAGCACGCTTGAGATAGTAGGAACTGAAAAGCTAAATTCTTATCTTCCCCACCAAAGGGGAGGGGGTACTCTAAAAGATAATCTTATGTTTTACTTCTAAAGAAATGAAATACATTAATCTGTTTCTTTAAATATGTAATTTTTGAAATTGGGAAGTTTAGGTGAAATTATTTGGAGACACCCCTCCCCATAGATATAGCAAGGGTGGAACAAAATAGTGTGAATTGTGACATTGAAGATGCCAGGAAATAAGAGAGAGAATGCAAAAGTGAGTTATGCTTGTTCAAATGTGCAAGTGTGTGTTTTCTGAAAAAGTCACAGAACAGGCATCTTTTGCAGGAGAAACTCAAGACTGTCTGCTTTCAGATGAGAACTGGAAACACAGGGAGGGGAAATGCAAGGCTTTTATGCTTCTTTTGGCATTTCTTTTTAACATCCCAAGTAATCTACCGTGTAACTTCATGATTTTTACGTTATGGGATCAGCAGTTTCTATGAAAAAGAGCCTGGTTTATAGGGTTAGGCTGGCCTGGATTGAAGCTGTAAAGAAGGATTGCTTGAGTGATGATTGATGGATTACAGATGGTTTTATGCCACTTGAGTCATCCAGTCTCTAAGCAGCTCACGGTAGCAGCAGTAGCATAATAAAATAGCAGTTGTACAAGTTATAATTTTTACTAATTACTACCAAATTATTGTAATACTCTAATCATAAAACTATAGTGATATAAAAATGTAAGAACTTAAAAACTAATCATGCACCCACTCACATCTCAGTCCTTTAGAGACGCAGGTCTTTTCATAGCTTTCTGAATGCCAGGGATGAGGGTACAGGTCTTCTCTTGTGGGATGGTGTTCCACAGAAGAAATATATTGGATTAGTAAAAAGAAATCTATAATACAAATGTGTTACATCCTTCACTGCTTTAGTTATATGAAACAATGGCAAAGAAATAGGTTGGATCAAAGGGCTATAACCTTGCTGCTTCAAATTTTGCTGTGGGCAATAACATCTCAGGTGGGGTATGGAGTTTAAGCAAACAAACTAAGTCATTGGCAAACATGGATAGTAAGAATGTGCAGATTGCAACTGCATATGTGGAAGCTAATGAATACAAGGCTTTCAAGTTCATCTTGTCCAGTCCTCAGTCCAGAGATGCTCCTTCCTTGTTTAGGTTCTTACATAAGCACACATAAATAAATGATGCACTGCTATTTATCTAATGGGAAATGAAATGCTTGACCTAAGTAAATAACCTCTAGGTCTGGCTCATTTGAATATAATTATAATATTTACAGGATAGTTTGTTTAAATAATAACCTCTAAGCTCTGCACACAAAGTTTATAATGCCATTATACTTTGCCCTTTAGTGCAATTTGTTCTCTAGGTTTATAAGTAGGTACTAAATTTAAGGTAACCTTAAACTATCATAGTCAGACTACAGTCTTGAAGCAGAATTTCATCCTGTCAGCTTTGTCACTGTCAGCTCAGGAATCAAAACAAGATAGTCTTAACTATACCAGCAAAAGCTTTCCGTTTTGGGTTTCTTTCCTGGAACAGATAAGAATCTGAGATCCATCCAGTGAAGAGTCTTCTAATGCAGTTAGGAGCATACAGTTTCCACTGTCAGAAGATTTCATGTTGTTCCTTGGAAGACAATCACATATACTTCAGTTTATAGAAAAATTGAGATCTTGCAGGTATCAGGATGGGTGCAAAGAATTGTCATTCTGCACCTTGGTATGGAGACATGTCAGCAGAGTCTGTGAGGTCTTTTCCCTGCATGTTTTAAGGTACTCATCTTTAGTAAAAACAACAACACTGCTTTGCTCCTATATTCTGGGGAGATGTGATGAATACAGTGTTAGTGTGCCATGCACTTGCTAGAGGTCTTCAGGGTTCAGCCTTTCTGTCATCCATAGACATGGGTATACTTTGGTTCAAGTGCACTATACATTAGGGCCATGCATTTTCTAGGAAGGAGTGCTTCAGAGGTTTGAGAGAAGCATTACCTTGAAGCTACTTGTGAAGCAACAAGCCATTTTCTTGCAAAGAGCAAAAAGAAGTGACCGTGTTGTTCCAAACTGCTCCAATTTGCAGCCCTTCCTTAGCATCTCTCAGCACTTGGAAAAGTCAGAAGAGGTTTCTGCATGGTGCTGCACAGAAGCCCATTTTGGCTTTTGTGAGTACTGGAGACTAGAAAACTGAAAGAGAATACAGTCCTCTTAGCCTTCTCCAGCACTGCTGTTGTCATCTTCTGGCTTTGCAGCTGAGAGAAGCGAGAGGCAATGGGAAGGCTTCAAGGTGATGCCGAATACTTCCCTAAGGCAGGTTGTGTGGCCTCCTTACCTCAACAAAGAGACCATTATCGCTTCTGTGATGCACCTCTAAGTCATCTCCACAGGCCTACAAACCGGATAATGGCTGCCATGCAGGCTTCCAATCTCTGACCAATCTGCGTTGCTTAGCTATGACTAGATGTTCCCTCAGTTTTTTCTTTCCTGATAGCACCGGCCTCTAGTATTTTAGTCCTTCCTGGCCATTCACTTGGGACAAGAGATTTTTAATTTTTTTTTAAAAAAAACCTCCCTTTGAAAAGAAAGATGAGGCCACTAAGGGGCTAATTTCATAGGGAGACAGGGATAGGATTGCCCTTGTGGCTCTTTTTAAAAGCACTGATGTTTTTTAACATTTTAAGACTTCCTTTCCCCTCCATCTTATTATTTTAAACTTGTATTTTTTTTAAAGAGTTATTGGATTGCCTTTGTCAGCCTTCCCTGGTAGACCAAACAGGAAACACGACCAGACGAGCTAATTCTACTTTATTGTAAGGCTACATTAACAAAATCTTGCAAGTCTGATAGAACACATCTTCCACTGTCTCCTTTACAGTCCGAAAAGCTAGGGAGGGTCCCTTCTGAGCCTCTTTCTCTACCCATTATGCGGCTGCAGGCTACGCCCCCTCTTATCTGATCGTTCCCTAGGCAGCATCTCTTCCTCCTGTCTCCCAAGGTCATTCCCACTACCATTTTACCTTTAGGATGGTCTCTTCTACTAACAGCCTAAAGTAAAGCATATGAGAAATATTATTCTCAGTAATTTAGTAAAACACCTGAGGTAATTGGCTTGCTCATTCTTCAGTATTTTTTTCTTCATTAATATACTTCTCCAAGCTATGCATTAATCAAAATTATATTTTGTGTTTTGGGTTCTCTGGATTCAATGAAAAGTAATGATGAAGTAGACAGGGCTTTAATTTTATGCTTAGAACTTTTATCAATACTGAAGTGAGAATATATTATTTACGATTTATCCTACCGAAGAATATATATCCAAAAACCCTGGAGTGGTAATATGGGAACAAAAACCCTAATTTTATTAGTGAATAAAAGGATGAAATGTAATTTGTAATCCGCATGGTCAAATAAATGGTTTGAGGATGTTAACCAAACTGTTCAAAGTACAAATGTCCAAATTGGAAAACAGAAGTTACAGAAATGTAGATGGTGTTATACAGTAATCACTTTGATTCTAGGCTAAATTTAAACAGACACAAGGTTGTGTAATTTCATGTTTCATTTATTTGGTTGGTGGCTGTTAACCATGATAGTTAGACAGAGCCAGTTGTGCATATCAGCGTAATGCTTAGCTCAGTTTTAGTGATCTGTTAATGCATTATTTCTTAGCACTTTCTCTGGTCATTTTGTGGAATGGCTAAAAGTTCAGAACGTTAAACTTCCATATTTGTTCAGCTATAGTTTAGTATATTATTCGACCTGAAACTGTAGTTAATCCTACCTTTGTTTAGAGAAAATTAAACTAAGGTAAGAAATTAGCTTGTTATAACAAACTTAAGATTAGCCCCAGTTTTCAGTTTTGAACTAAACTGCTCTTAAGTAAAAATAAAAACTAGCATTTCCTATTTTTTTCCCCTGGCTATGCTGAAGGAGGACTCCAGAAGGATGTTAGGTTTATACCTCCAGTGTTTTCTCCAACTTGGTGCTCTCCAGTGCAGCTGTCAGATCATTTGAAAGAGGGTTTCAGAATGTATGGAAGCATTTTCTTCAGCTGTGCATTTTGCGTTTTTCTCAGCGAAGTGGCTGTATCTGCATGCATAGAGACAGCCAGGACCAGCTTCCAAAGCATCTGCATAAGCCTGGAAAAGGATGTGGCTACTTCGAAAAGATGAGCTTCATCCAGGCTCTGACATGTTCCAAAGCACTCCTTCTGAAGTATTTGCAAAGAATCCTGCTCTTCATTGAGGTTGGGATTCCCAGCCATTCTGGCTGTTGAATGTTTTTATGAAATAGGTCTACTTATACTTTTAATAGTTGGTTTCATTTTACTTGTGTTGCAATCATTCTGCCTGACAGAAAGTAAATTTATTAATTAAAAATACATTTCTGGAGGGCACCTGCGGATGGAAAGTTATAGCTGAGCCATTTCTTACTGTACAGAGACAGTAGGTTGGACCAATAAGGAAATGCTCTTCTCCCTCGCATTTGTGTGACCCTTACTTCTGTTGGAATCAGTATTTTGAATGGATGTGTTTTATTCATATTCAGCCGGCGGCTCTGATAACCCTAATTTCATAGTTGCTGTGTTGTTTTCAATTAAAAATGATTCCTTAATAATACGTGTTGTGGCTCTAGCGCCTGCAGGGAAATGTCTTCTTTTGCGCAAAAGTTCACAGCGCTTTTTCTCCTAGTGGGAAGCAGGAACTTCAGCCACCTGCTGAGTATTTTTATTTCAACTGATAAAGATTGAAATGAATGAACAATGTCCAGTTAGTTAGATGAAAAGGGAAGTAAGTACTTGAAGTTACTGCATATTTACAGTGAGGTTAGTTATTGAAAGTCACTTACCTCTTCTCACAGTAGCGTGCTGCAGTCATATTCGACTACACAAAACAAGGCTACAAGTAGAATTATAAGGCGGCTGCTTTTCAAACTTCTAAAATTCTGTGTACGTAAAAAGAGGCAGGCGTTAGATAAGCCTCATGGTTTCTTCAGCTCTGGTACTTAGTGTGTGTGTGTGTGTGTGTGTGTGTGTGTGTGTAAGAATCAGAATTGTAGGTACTGAGACAGCCATGTTTTGGTGGCACCCCTCCCCTCCTTTGAAGATAATACTGTTTCTGAGTCTTAGGACAAATTAAGAGGAGCTTGTTGACATGATCTATGAGGAACAGATCAAACATAGCTGCCTTCCAGGTCCCAGCACCTGCTCTCTGGAACAGCATCCCCTTGGAGATACATACAGTTCCTATTCTCCTTGGTTTCCAGAAGTGTCTTAAGGCCTGGCTGTGTTCCTGGGCTTGGAATTAGGGTGTCTGTAGAGCCCCTGCTGAGGTTTTTATTTTGATTTTTTCCCATGTTGGGGAGTGTTGTTTTGGTCCAGGTAGTCATGTGATTTTTAATTGTGTTTTTAATATATGCATTGGACTTGTTGTATGCTGGCAAGAGTCTTCTTGGAGTTGGATGGCCTTAACAAATCCAATAAATGAACATATATACCCAGTTTATCAGTTTAACTATTTGCATATTATCAGTGATGTAACTATAGGGAAGGCAGAGGAACTGGTTGCCTTGGGCCTTACCTGCTGAGGCTTCAGTCTTTAAAAAAAAGCGGGGGGCGGGAGGAAGACCTGACCATGGGCAATTGCAGGGCCAGTATATGTGCTCCCATGGGGAGAAGCTAATTTGACTAGGGTGCCATGTTGGGTATGGGTGAAGCTCCAGGTGGACCTGCTCCTGACTTATGCAAATGGCTGGCACTGCCCACCCCTAGCAGAGTGCCTCAAGTCGGCCAGGAGTCACAGCTGATGTGCTCCCTCTCTGACTCCGGACAGCAATTTGTCTGTGTGAGTCCTTGGCACCTGAATTTCTGTTGAATAAGAGATGAGTCGCCACCTCTGCTGCTGCTGCTACACAGCACCCGTAAGTGGGTAAGGAGGAGATGGACCAAGTGGTGAAAGCTCTGAGGGTTACCCAGCACTTCCTACTGGCCACTTTCTTCCTCTCCTCCTCAGCCCTTCAGGACGCTCATGCTCACTCCTGTGGCAGAGGTACAGTTGTGTGACCCTCCTCCCCCCTTTCTTCTGTCTGCCCTGAATTGCTGCAGCTTGAGCTTTCTAACGATCGATGGGACCACTGGAGGGATTTGTCTTGTTGCTCAGGGAGCTAGAGCCAGCATGGTGTGGTGGCGAAGGTGTTAGATTAGGAGTGGACTCTTGTCCACTCTCAGCTGTGAAAGCTCTTTGGGCCAGTCTCTCTCTCTCTCAGTTCTGTCTCACCCACGGTGATGCTGTGGTAGGGAAAAATTGGAGGAGGGAGCTCTAGGAACTTTTGTTCAACTCCTGAACAAAAGGCAGGATATAAATCAAATAAATAATAAATACTCACGCTCCTGCATCTGTTCTGCAGCCTTGGTCACGTGCATCTTATTTGTGAAAATGTATTTCTGCCTGTGCAGATGGCACAGTAGATGTGTTTCAGTCACCCTGTACTAGTTGAAATGACTGATATTTGTGCTTCTTTCTTTTTGCTTTTCATTGCTGCTTTTCCCCTGCCAAGTTTGGATCGCCATATGCAAGCACACCATGGACATCATAAACCATTCCGCTGTAAACTCTGCCCTTTCAAGTCCTCCTATAATAGCCGGCTGAAAACTCACCTGCTCAAAGCTCATGCTGGTAAGTCAGTTTCGTAACAAGAAGGTCCCCTTACTTTTTCCCTTGCTCTTTTCTGCTGCTGTAGCATCATCAGTTAACAGTAGCTTGCAGCCTTAAAGTGAGCCTTCGGGCCAATTAGGGGAAAAGTGCTTAAGCTAAGCCAATTTTCTATTCAGCAGATCTTAAGTTGGAATTGAACCAACTTGAGTTAGGTGATCCTAAATTAGATACAGGCTGGAACTTAATTAAACTACGACTAGGGTGGAGAACAGGGCAAGAGGTTGAATTAAGGGTTTAGGCTACACCTGGAGAGCCAACCCTTTTGGATGGTAGATGTTAATAAGGTTGAAATAAAAGAGCTGTGCCAAACGTTCATATTCAAATTTAGAAGTATCATTTTGTATTTTGTTTTGAATCTAGTCAGAGCCATTGCCCCTTGCATGCCTTGTTGCTTGGCATAGTTTTGTTTTTATGTTAACAATCTGCTTTTTCTTTACTGTGTAATTCCAGTCAATCAAGGATCACATATTGAACACTTTTATAATATGGCCATATGATGTTGCTGTATGGTTCAGTGAGAATAAGCAATAAGAATGGAGTGCACATTTTAATATACATTCATGCACAGATCTTCGTGCTTAAATGTACATTTTGAAGTATGTGTCTTCTAAGAAATCACATTCTGATCAACTATCCCAATGTGTTATGTATTAACCCAAGAAGCCTTGGTGATCAAGGCATGGTAAATGCTTTTCTTTTCCCCCAGCAAACACTTTTGTAACCTTTGAATGTATGTACCCCTTAAAAAGTGGGAAACTGTGGGTGTTTTAATGAGTACTATTCAGAAACCTCAACTGCTACAGTTTACATAAATTCTAGTAGGTATTGCAATGTGTAGGCTATCCAGTAAAGCAAAAGATGTATGTATCAGTCTTGAGGTTAAGTGAGTTTGTTGAATGAGAATTTAATCTGACAGTTATAATCATTTTGGCTGTGTTCTTCACTAGCAACATTGTAACAATAGCTTGAAAATAATTAAATATAGCCTGCTGAATCATTAGTTGATAGGCATACATTTCAAAACCAAGAACTCTGATAATAGCTGTCTGCTTCAGAGACTTCTCTTCAAAGTTAATTTTGTTGAGTTCTAAAAAGATACAAGACAAAGATGGCTAGATACTTCACTAAGTTTCCTTCTCATTTAAAATAACATTACTGAATACTGGATATGGTAGTTGCAAATATTAGCTTTTATAGTTGTATGTATGGCCATTCTTGTAGATCTTAGTCCTTCATTAAGTACAGCATAGTCTTTGATTGTTGTTTGTGTTCTGTCCTATTATGAGTTCATCTCTCATAAGTTTTGGTTTCATGTATCAATGAGTCCCGAAAATGTTTCTGGGAGAGAGGGTAGATTGGCCCTAGCACTCAGCTTTCCAGGCGATAATTAATTGAATGGTAACTCTCCATAGTTTTGAGATCAGATCATTATGAAATTGTATTGCTGAATGTGTCCTTTGAAGTCAGTCATTCCAGGTTATGTTCTTTCAGGAATGTTTAGCCAATGTTATAACCTGAAAACACTTGTATGCGGTTCTCAATATTTGTGTTCCTCATTAATGTAGCTATAAGTATCAAGACATGGTTATGGGATCTTCATTGTGTTCTGTATTGCTACAGTTCTGTTTGGTCGTTTGTTTACACATTAGGATCATATGACTTATTTCTACCTTGACGGTTTCTTCTCCATAATTATATTTCTATTCACAACTGGCATTTTATTTTCCAGCTAGACATGACAGAGGTACTATTTTTATTCAGTACTATTTTGATTGAGTACAGAATTAACTTGTGGAATTTTCTACCACTAGATACACTATTGGCCACTAGCCTAGATGGTTTCAGAAATGGGTTGAACAAATTCATATGTCTATCAGTGGCTAATAGTCTTGATAACTAAGGGAGTTTCTGTTCCGAACCATCCTGCCTCTGAACACCAGCTGCTTTATCCAGTCAGCAAAGGGAGGATGGCTGCTTTCACACTTGCTTATACATGTCCAAGAGACATTTGTTCATCAGTGTTGTAAATAGAATGCTGCACTAGAATCATATGGTTGAAAAGAACCTTTGAATAGACTAGATTTCCCCTTTATTCTAGTGTAATAGGGTTGTACTTATGAGCCCAGCTATGCTGTGCTCTGTACTTTTTAATATTACTGTATGTTTGTTTCAGTTGACTTTTAACTAGAAAGTGGCCAGATTTGGGGATCTTGTTTGAAAACTTTTTTAAAAATGCATGAAATGTTGCTTTTGAAATGCTATCATACTTCTTCATAGCCACAGATCCTACTTGGGCTTCTTCATTTGATTTGCTACAGATACTTTCTTTAGCTTTTCTGAGATTCTTGACCTAATGTATATTGTGCAACTAATCCTCTTCAGCTTTGGAAAGCAGTTCAGGCCAATTAATTGCTTGCAGAATATCCTTTGCTTGTTTCTTAATGTCAAAGGGTTTGTTTGGGTTGTTAAATTATTAGCTGCATAACTAGGAGTAGGGCAGGAGGGCCTGAATCATTTAGTGCCTCGCTGAAGTGTATTTTGGGGTTATACGCTGCTGTCTTAATGGAGGAATCAAGTAATACATTTCTGTACTAGAAAACTAAGTTTCTCATAGTATTCTCTTGTGACCTCCATATTCTGTTTTCTATTTTTATTTCACATAACTCATTTTGTGGGATGTGGATCCCTTTTGCTATTCTAACACTTTAACCCTAAACTTTCACGTCTATGGAACTTCTCTTTTGTGAACAGACTTAGAACATGCTGTGAATAATACACACACATACATACACGCACTGTTGTAGACTTTGGCATTTATGCTTTCTGTTTTTAAGCATTTGGAACAGTCATTTTTCTATCATCAGTTGGCTGATGTGCCTGTTTATAAATATATTTAGCATAGTGTTTTAAGGAATTGTCATTTATTTTCCTCTTGTCAACTCATTCTCATATTCTCATGTTGTAACTTTTGGCCAAGGTGCGTATTTCGGTCTACTGGGATTGTACTCAGAAGAAACACTAGAATCCGTTCTCGGTGGGTGTTCTCACTCACATACATATCTCTTGTTTCCTGTTACAGAAAAATGGATGAATATCAGCAACTCATTTATCTGAATATATGATCTTTCAGATTAGAGCCAGTTTGGTGTAGAGGTTAAGGCACCGGGCTAGAAACTGGGAGACTGTGAGTTCTAGTCCTGCCTTAAGCAGTGTGGTGATTTTGGGCTAGTCATTCTCTCTCAGCCCTAGGAAAAGGCAGCGGCAAACCCCTTCTAAAAATTTTGCCAAGAAAACTGCAGATACTTGTCTAGGCAATCACCATGAGTCAGAAGGGACAACAACAAATATTCCATGGGATAAATAGCCTTTCGATCATGGTATTTTGTAGATTCCTTCTCCCCTCTCTCCCCTGAATTTCCTAATGTGGTAATTTGCTTGCTGTCACAGTGAAGAGGATGACAGGAAGGTTGAATAGGCAAACTTGAACCATAAATGTGTGTCTCAGTAAAAAAAAAAAAAATTAGAAGACTTGTGTTTATACAGTAGTCCTTGAAAACAGCATACATTCTGTGTAATCCCCTGGAACAACGATCTTTTCCTCCACAGAAATGTCACTTGCTTTTTAAACTGAAATTTTATTCATCATCAACAATTGCCCCAAGCAAGCATTATTATGGGATCACTATAATATCCACCACTTCTTGGAGCAGTCTTGCTTTTATGTCAAAGACTGTGTCCATGTAAAATTCCAAAGTGTGTTTGTAACTCCTTTATCACTTAATTCCTAATTACATGGCTTTTTGTCCTTCTGTACATATTCCATCTAATGTTCACTTTTTATTGCATCTTCTTACTTGCTCAGGCACCAACACTAGTTAGGTTAAATCTAATTCATAATTATATTATGTTGTGTTAGACCTGTATAATGAAAGATTATCAGAATGCCAGATGGGTTGACTTGTCTCCTTGAGAATCATATCAAAGGGAACTAGTAAGTGGAAATTATTTCCAGTAGGCTGTCTACGTGAAACTCATTCCCCAATGCCATATACTTTACTATTTTGCTATTTTATTTATATATGCTGCTCTTCTGACTTTGAAGAATTACAAATGTCAGGTGGTAATCATTTTTTTTTTTTACAGGAGAGTGGTAATGATATGCCAGACAGTGGAATTGAAATGAATGTTGTTAGTGCTCAAGGAAAAAAATTGATGAAAAGGAATTAATAAATGCTATGAGAATGTTAGAAAATGGTACGGCTGCAAGTGTAGATGGTATAACTGGAGAATTGTCAAAGAAGAGATATGGTTTGCTTAAGGAGTGGCTATGCATTTATGTAGTGTATATGAAGATTTCATCTGTGTCCAATAATTGGAAGAATGCCATTATGTTCCTTCATACAAAGGGAAATATAACAAGAAGAAATGTAAAAAATTACACAGGGATTAGGTTGTTTCATGTGCCTGAGAAAGTTTTGGACAGAATTCTGATCTAAAGTATATGAGAGGTGACCAGTGAGCAAAATTTTGGGAAATGCAGTATGATGTTATACCAGCTAGAGGGTTTAAAAGCAGAAGTTTTGCTTTTGAGCAGGTCAGTGAATAAAGTATGAATGTGAGAAAGACAAGCTACTTTATTGATTGATATATAGAACACATGGTAAAATAAATAGCCTTGAATTAAGGAATATTTTATAGGAATATGGAGTTGAAGGTTGCTGAATGTGGTAAGAGCAGTCAACGATGAAAGTAAAGCATGTATAAGAATAAATTGAGTGCTTAGCAAAAGATTCAAGAAGGATGTGTGATGTTCCTTTGGTTGTTTAATGCATTTCTGCATAAATGTATAAGAAATACATTTGGTGATATTAGAGGTGCATTTGTTGGGAATGCGAATGTATGTGTACGTTTCTGTGCAGATGATGCTGAGTCGTTGGCTGAGAACCAGGTGATATGCAGTTAATATTGTGGATCTAAACATTAATATATTAAAGATCAAAGTAGTTATCTTTGACAGGGAAAAGAAAGTTAAATATTAGAAGCTGTGCAAAAAATTGTGAAAAACAAGAACCGGTAGATGAATTTGTGGGCCTTGGAAGAATATTTATCAAAGATGGGAAACTGAAAGTACCGTATTTTTCCGTCAATAAGACGCCCCCATGTACAAGACGACCCCCACTTTTCCA